CGAACTTAGAACGCTAAGATCTGGGGTTCTGTTCAACGCGGTAGACACAAAAGAGAGCCCAATGTGGTTTTGTTCTAAAAATTAACGAAGAAAACATAGTACGATTAAAAAACGAATGGTTAACTTTATCTTCAAAATACTTCAATTTTTCAAATAGACTGGATTTCGTACTGTTTCAAAATTTCCTACTGTTATCCATTTAAATAAGTATGAAGTTTTTAAACAAATGAACACATAACAAAAGATGCGCTTCATTCAATTGCATTTTGATAACTTTTTAAAATTAAATTAGATATAATAAGATGCCTTAATTGTAATAAAACTTACATTTAAGTCTCTCAAATTTAATAATTAAGTAAACATTTTAATTACATGATAAAATATCAATTCCATTAAATAATTACAAATAAATGATGTATACAAATGTAAACATACATAGTTATATAGTTTTTATCTATCTATGCACATGTTACTATTTTTAAATGCTATTCTGAAGCATCTCGTTATACAATAATAAATTACAAATAACGATTTATGAACCTAACACAAATTAGATCATTTTTATGTGGAGAACATACTACATGTTTCAACAGAACATTGCTTCAAGAGAGACCAACGTTCTATTGAAAGAAGTAGTATGTTCCCTACAGAAAAATTTAATTTTGTTTATGCTTATAAATCGTTGTTCGTCAAGTTACTATTGTAATAGCATAATTTGATAGCGTATACAAGTATTTCTTTATACCTCAATGTCTGAAGCAAAAAACATAATATTTCATTAATAAGCATCTAGCGGTGTTTTATGAAAATATTAGGGATGTGTTTTGCCAAGATGGCTGATAAGTTAGGCGATATTACGTTCCTTTATCTTTTACAAACAGTATTCGAAGGCTTTACTTAAATTACCCTTGGTGAGAGTAATAATTTGAATATTTTATTTTCCATAGGTAATAAAGAATCATTTAATATAAAAAGTAATTATTTCTTCTTTTATAAAGTACTGCAACATTGAAGAAATTTGTGTTAATTTGGCGTTTTTACTTGGTGCACTGCTGTTTTCCGATTGGCTAGAATTTGGCGGGTAAGTTGCCCGGCAATATCATCCCTTTCAAAACCGCAGGCCTACAAATAAGAGAAATGCAATGTGATATATCAGATAGAAATTTCTTTAAAAATCTTAAAATATGTTCTTGTAGTTAGAAATGACAAATGACAGACATAGTGTCAGCTTGTATGCTACGATCATCATAGGATTTACAGGCGCAGATGGCCTTAGAATTTATAAATTAATTCAAATTTTATAGTTTTAAGCCATAAGTAGTAGTAGTAATACTACTAGTACTAGTGCTGTTACTAGTAATAGTAGTACTACTCACTACTAGCAGTTAGTTATAACTTATATAATTTACTTTCAATTTTTACAGTGTTATCAGCCGTTTAAACTGAATTATAATTATTAAAAGTATGTGTGATTACTTTTATCAATATGAAATAATTATTGATAATTTATATAAAACTAAATTTCATAATTAGTTTATATGTTTAATGAGTCTTAGAGTTAGAATAGAAAACGCCTAATGTTTAGACTGAAACTGATTTGGGTGTACTTTTTTAACACTTGCATTGTGCCAAGTTAATTTTCATTTAGCATAAATAATTTGAATATCAAGAATTACCATCGTTTTTGAGGTAGCAGTATACTGAAATATCTTTCTAGTGTCCAGGACCAATTACTTTGTAATTATGTAAAATAAATTTTTAAGTGCAAATTTACTGAGTTTTAAATCTGAGAGTATATTAATATTGTGTAATTTGTGATTCTTGAAGTGGGCAATGTCAGAAGAAAGATTGAATGCAAATGATTTGGAAGGACTGCAGGCTGAGAATGGTTGGCTAAGAAAGACAGAAAATAACCATCACGAAGAAAGTATATGGACTACACAAGACAAGTGTCTTTCACTTGAATGTCCAGAGAAAAATTTAGGCCAGTCAAGGAAGAAACGAAAGTTTAGAGAAGGACTGGATGTTTTGTGTAGATGGACTGATGGACTTTTGTATCTTGGAGTTATCATTAAGGTAATATTACTTGTAAATAAAAATGAAGGGATACTACAGAATTACATAATGATTTGTGAAGAATCAACAAATTCTCTTCTTGGTAAAATTATACTTGAATGGTATAACAAAATACTTTGTTTAATACAATAAATGCTGAGCTGAACAATTTGTGGTATTTGCTAATTGATAAATTAATGGTCCCATTAGTATATTACCAATTATTCCAGTGTTCTTCAAACCATGGTACATACAAGCATAAAAAAATAAGATTGGTGGCAGGTGTTGCTTTGCCTCTAGTCAATAGTTAAAATTTAGTGGCAGATGGTTTTAGTATAACAAAAATAAGGTAAGTGTGGTAACAGTTTTTGGTTTTTTGGATAGTTGAAATAACCTAAAATAGTAATCAGAAACTCTTAATTTTGATGAGTGGATTTTCATGACCATCAATTTAATCATAATTGCTACTCATAGGTAATTGAATATATTGATTGAGTTGCCTAGCAGTAATGAATACACAAATGACTTCTCTCTACAGACAAAAACTTGTTCAAGTTTCAGTATTTTGCCTTATGGCTTCTTCATGAGCTCTCTACAACATAAACAAAAAAACGTTTAAAATAAAACTTCTGTAACAGAGATAGCAAGAGCTGCTGGCAGATTCAAACAAAGCTTTCAATTATCATGACTTCACAGTTGAGTGTATGCCAAGTGTGTGTGTCTCAGAAATGTTTTTACTAAAATCTGTCAGTTGTATTCCTTGTGTGGAACCTTAAAAAAAAAAGACAACATAACTGCAACACTCAAAAGATAAATAAAAAAATATGGTCTTATCAATGAATTGTGGTGGATCCCTTAAATTGATATTACGAAGGTTGTATATATGAGAGAGGTATAATTTGTAATAAAACAAATGTCAATCTACAGAATATGGCCTACAGGATCTCGGTCATCTTACACCAGGTGATCTGTGCTGTATGTCAGACATTTATATTGGTGAAACAAGCCACGAGAGAATAGTAAAAAACTTGATACATCTACAACCTTAATGCAAACAACAATACTATTGCAGAACACTATTAAGAAACATGACTTACTGCAAACTGAACAGGTGTTCATTAAGAAAACATACTGTTTTTTATGTTGTGTTTATTATTTGTTGTGTATGTTTTAGAAGAAACCATAAAGTGAAATATTGAGCATTAAACATGTCGAGAGAAAGAAGTCATTTGTGTATTTGACATTCAAGTAAGAAATATCAGTTAGCATTAACAAAATGTCAAAAACTTGCTTTATTTCACAAAATAAATTTTGGAAAACAAAGTCCATTTCATGGATTTTACTGAATCTATTTGCAAGTTAAAATTAAATCTATTAAAAAAAGTTGAATCTGTGATAAATATTGTCATAAAATGTATCAGTTTCTTGTATACAAGAAATATTAAATTAAACAACATTTTCCAACCTTTTGTTTTATCAAGAGCTCATATCCCATCACTGTTAACAGTTATCATGTAGAAAGTGCCCCAGAAATTTTCAATAGCAGTAAACCAAATGAATCTTGTCTCATTAAGTACTTTAGATAATGTTATTTCCACCATTTCTCCTTTTTGTGGTATTCTTATCATGTATATTCATTGTGATATGTAATCATATAACTTCATTATTATGTAGAATTAACGAGGAACGTGTCATTCCATTACATTGCCAGGAATTTGCTGCTGCATAGAGCTATTAACTTTTGTGTCTCTTGTGACCTTCCTGCAGCTTATTTGCAAGGCTATGTGCACCAAGAGGTTGCTGTAAAGTTATCCCTATTCAAAAACCTTTTATAATATGCTTGCTTGGTCAGTTTTAGCCCACTGAATATCATGCATTACATTGCACTTAACTATAATTAAAGGTTCTTTGCTAAATATTTGTCCAACTTACCAATTGGGCCATGTCATTCTGCAGTATCTTACAATACAGCTAAAAATACCCAAGGGTTTAATGTCATCACAAAACTTTACTAATTATGCCCCTATAAATAAAGGAGAAAAACAAAGGCTCAAGCACTTACCTTTGAATCACTCCACTAGTAACAATAGACAAGTTTGACTGGATTTCAGTTTAAAACATTTTGCTTCCTCTCATCCAATCACCATATAATCCAATTAAGTAGTCTTTCTCCAACTTCTACCGATTTGATTTTCTTCGCTAACTTGTCTTTTGTGTAGTACATTATCAAAAATTTTTGAAAATTAAAGTACACCAAGTCTGCTCTTTTTACATGGTGTAAGTAGCATCCTTGACAAAAGATAACAAATTAGTAAGACAAATTTTTTCTTTAATGACCTTTAATGAATCCTTATTGGTTATATTTTATGATTAAAAATTTCAATTTTTATTAGATGAGATTTTTTCACATTATAGAGGAAAGATTAACTACCCTGTAATTTCTGGGCAGCTCTTATTGTTTCTTTTAAAAATAGAAGTAACATAGCAAATCTCCAGTCATCATGCAACAGAGAATTTTATATAGACTACAAAAAAAACCAGTCTTATATATCTGATCTTTGACCTCCTTTAAAACCATCTGAAAATGTTGTATGGTCCTAGTACTTTATAATCTTTCTTTTTATTTACCACTAAGGAAGTAATGGTGCTACTATAGTGTGAGGTCTACCGCCATATGTCGCCTAACCAGGTCTATCAAACATGTATAAAAATGTATTAAATTAAGTGTTTATCGCTAAAATAAATGTATGGAAATGTGTGATATCCATGAGGGATGGATAATGCAGCGGTAGACCTCACGCTATAAGCGACATATGGCGGTAGACCTCATGCTGTAGTAGCACTGAATTAATGTTACAAGATTCAAGTCAATTCCAAATCTTGTACAGTTAGAAAATTGGCAATTAATTGTAAATTCAAAATATTCAAGATAATAAGGTTGTAAACATATTTCTGAAGTATTTGTCACACTGTTAAATGATATTTTATGCAAATCTTTGTTGTTTTGATGTAGTTTTGAAAACTGATATAATTTTCCACCTACTCTTGGTGTGCGTATAAATTTATATCCAGCTCAGTTTTGATAGTTTTATTATCTTATTTTAATGCAGTGCTCTTGTTTGTTTCTAGAGAAAGACTGTTTTATCTTCTATACTGAGGCCTGATTAGAAGTTGAAATGAACTTTAACTATTCAATGTTATTTTGTTAGTTGGTATAGGCCTGTGACAGAGTAGGAATATCTTGAAGTACAATTTGTGATGTAATCATTGATTTTATGCAGTTTATTTCTCACATAGAGAGACAAGTATGCAGGAAGGAACTCTATCACATGACCTTGCTAATCAACTAAAAGATGCTACACAGCTAACAACTTTGACTTGAAAAAGGCCTCAGTATAGAAGCCAAAATATATTTCATGCTAGAAATAGGCAGAAGATGTCCATAGCCAAAACTGTACCATGTCTGCAGTGCCTAAAATATCCTTGAAACAACAATTTCATTACTTTTTTCAGATTGTACTGATTGCTCAAGAAAGCTCCCATACAGAATTTTCTTAATTGTAAATGATGTACTTATAAGAGTCAGATTTAAGGTGAATAACAGTTTTGTTCTTCTAGATGTTAAACGTACTGATCAGGTATTTTTTTAGATTCACCTATGTGAGAAACGTAGGTTCATTACACAGTCTTTGTTTTCTCTACCAATGCTGTGTTTTTAATGTTATAGGTTGAAGAAAAACTGAAAAAAGCACTGGTGAGATTTGAGGATTCTTCAGAGTACTGGACTTTGTTCAAAGATATGCAAAGAGGTATTTCATAGTTAAATGTTTTGAGTTATTTTTACTTGATCTGTAAAGTCTTTGTAATTTGCCACATAACTTTTGTTCTTTGCATAAAATTTCTTTGGATAAGAAGGTTGTATTTTTTGTACAAAAATTGTATGTGTATATCCTTTCACTGTTTTTGTTCAAAATAATTACAACCTTTTTATCCAAAGAAATTGTATGCAGACAATAAGAATTATTAGACAAAAAATTCTCAGCAAGCTATAATAGAACTGTTAATAAATAGCCTATTAAGATGTTGACATAGTTATATCATTATATATCTTCATAATTTCCACATGTACAAGATCCAATGTTCCTGAAATCTGGATAAAGTCTTGTCTTTTCTGTTTTTTGTAGATGCTAGGTTGATGAAAGCTGAGCTTGTGGTAAAGGGAGAGGGAAATTATATATATGAACTTATGATACTTCAGTATTTTTTAACATAAACACTAGTATCTTAATTCCCTTGTACTTTGCAGTACCAAAGTTGCATTAATATACATTGCTGTAAGTATACTCATTATCATTTTGATAAATGTTTGAGCTTATTTTTAATTTGTTGGCATTATAAATTTTTTATGAGAATAAGCTCTCATGGTTCATTAAAATGTATTGAATAAAAAATAGTAGTTATATTTCAATGTGAAATCTTGCAGATTATATATATAAGTTGCATACAAGCAGTGCATTTCCTTAAAAAGTTTGGTTCTTTTTTATTAGATATAATTTCTTTTTTTGATATATGAAAAAATTACTTTCATTTACCGTTCTCATAGCTCATTTATATGCTTAAGTATTTCTATTCCAGTTTAATAACCAAACCACATTTAAGCATTTGATTTTTTCAAGGTAAGTCTTTACAATTACTGTAACAAAAGCTGTTGCCAGTAAAAGTTAATAATTTTTTCAGGTAATATGTCTGGTGGAGAAATTGTTTGTGTAAAGTGTGAAAATGGACAGTCTGATCCTCCAAATGAAATTGTCATCTGTGATCACTGTAATTTAGGTAAGCAGTGTTTTAGCTATCCTAGAAAATTTTCTAGTGCAAAGTGATTTTAATGTTAAGCTTAAAAATACTTCTCTTCATCTGAAAATTGTCATATTTCATTTATGTAATCTCTAAAACCTTCTAAATAAATGTCAGACTTTTTTTTTCATTAAACTTTTATGTTTTATCTGTTATTTTCTCTACCCTAACTCTATACAAGGTTGGTCAATCTGGTTAACCACATAATCACCATAAGAAAATATGAAATATAACTAAATTACTCCTTTTTCTTTCTAGAATGACTTCATATTGTAACATAAAACTATAGTTCTTTATCCTAATAGCTTTAAATGTGTAACAATATATATATATATATAATTGTTTATACTTAAATTTTATTGTTTTATTGCCCTTTGAACCGTATCCAACTAATAATCTCGCCACAAGTTGTAAATCACTTGGCAAACATGTAACTCGGAAGCATACCTAATGAAAAATTATTATTATTATTTATCTTTATTTTACCTAATCTAACCTAAAAAGTTTCTAGTTTTACATTTTAGTTACTTTTATAGTAAGAAATAAAAAAACAAGAAACATAGTAGTTTTTTGATGAAATTTAACCATACTCCTTGTACTACTGCACTAAATAATTTATTTAATTAACACTTTCCACATGAGTTCGGTCGAATTGACTGAGTTTGTAACCATAGAGTACACACTACAGTTTCCATACTATAACTTTTTATACAGTACATGTATCTTCTCAATATTTGACATACTTTCAGTGAACATTACAAGACTTATACATGAAAATCTGATTTTTTTTAAATTTAGTATTTTAAATAAAGATTTGTCTATGAATATATTGAGTAGTTTTCTTTATTGTCCAAGTGCAGAGTGATTTTCATGTAAAGATTAAAAGTACTTTTATTCCTCTGAAACTTTTCAAATTTAATTTGTGTAGTCTCTGAAAGCTCCTAAATAACTATAAAACTTTGTTTCTGTTACTTTCTCTACCATAACACTAAACGAGGTTGTCATCTTGATCAACCTTATAACCACCATAAAAAATATGAAATAAATCTAAATTCCCCTTTTTTTCTTTTTATAATGATTTCAAATTGTAACATGAAACTACATTTGTTTATCCTTAATAGCTTAAATCTCGTAACAATATATATCTGTTTATATTTAAATATTATTGTATTATTTCTCTTTGAACCATGTCTAACTAATATTCCCTTCATAAAATTTGTAAAGTGCTTGATGAGCATGGGGTTCACATTACCCTGTTGAATAATCTAATATACAGGCTACTCACGAGTTGCTGGTGAGCATACCTTGGGAAAAATATTATTATTATTAATTATTTTATTTAATCTAACCTAAAAGTTTCTAATTTTTACATTTTAGTTACTTTTATAATAATAAATAAAGAATACAGATAAAAACAAGAAATATAGTCCCTATTGCTATTGCCTGTTGATCAAACTTAACCCTACTTTTTTTATACTAATGGTACTACTCTAAGTAATTTTTTATTTAATCAAATCATGCACCAAAGAACACAGAATATTAACACACACAAAGGAGATAATATCCCATAACTATCACCATTTTTCAGGCTTTCTAACTATGCAACAAGAACAGTTAAAAACTCAGCGAAGCTCGTTATTGTGTTTCCAGTGGGAATAAAGTTTGAATTTGAAGTGAAATAGATAATTCTTTGTACAGAAAACAAACAATATAATACATTATTAGATAACTTAAAACTATTGGTTATAAATAATATAGTATTAAACATCAAAAGAGAGCTACTGGCACTTTGTGAAAGAGAGGATGTTACAGGTATGTATGGCAAAAGAGGTCTAATTTTTTATTTTATGGTTTTGTAACCAAATGAGACTGAATGCTATAAAAATTATGCTTTGCCTGAGTGATGACAACATTATAATGAGTAATTTACATTAAATTTCGTACTTCTTGGAGGGGTGGTAAATATATTACAGAAGAGGGGATATATCTGGAGAGCAAATGTCACAATTCTCACACTAGGGAAAATTGAGGATTTTTTTTTCCTAATATTGCCTTAGAAAAATATGAACATATAACTTATAAAATGTTTAAATTTGGATTATTAGCTACATTTGGATGCCAAGTTTATTCATATACCTTGAACATAAAGTACTTCAATTAAATTTTGAATGTAACTCAGAAAAACCTAGTAACATGGGCAGAAAAGGATGCTCGTATGGAAAGAGTTAAATAATAATAAACAATTTTTAGTAGTAAAGTTCAAAGTTTATTAGCTGTATACTTTTGCTAAAATTGGTTAATGAAAGGATGTTTAGCCTCGTTTTTCACGTGTGACATCTTATTAAAATTCTATTTTTTCGTGTATTTTACATGATCATATAAATATAAAGGTATAAGCACTATAACTCTGAAAATACTTAATGTTGCATCATGAAATTTGGCAACATTTTAGTAAATATAAAGTCTTTTGTAGACCAAAACCAGAATTTTTAATTAAGTATTTATGCAAAAAATTTGTTCATAAATATTTGGAGTCAGAGTGTTGACTGCTCTAAGTGCAAAGTGATTTTCATGTTAAAATTAAAAATACTTTCCTTCCTCTGAAAATTTTCAAATTTCATTTGCATAATCTACAACACCTAAATATATATATCAAACCTTTTGTTTTATGTATACATAGAAAAACTTTATCTGTTATTTTCTCTATCATAACTATACGGGGTTGGTCAATTTGTGTGACCTTGTAACCACCAGATAAAATTAGGAAATAAATCTAAATTACTCTTTTTTTTTTCTTTCTAGGATGACTGAAAATAGTAACATGAAACCATAAACATCTAGTTTATTCTAGATAGCTTAAAGCTCATAACAGTATACATTTATTAATACTTAATTTTATTGTGTCTTACTAATAATACTACCACATGAATTATAAATCATTTGACAAACATGCAGCTCACATTACTGTATCGAATAATGTAACTATTCTAAATAATTTTTTTATTCAATTAAATAATGCACCTAAGAATACAACATGCCAAAAACAAACAATGTCCTATAACTATAATAATTTTTATGGGTTTTTAACTATATGATTAGACCTTTAAAAATTCAACTAAGCTTGTTGATGGAATTCCCATGAGAACACATTTGAAACTGAACAATGAAATAGAAATAACAATATAATACACCATTTGATAGATTAAAACTTTGGCTTTCTATTAGCTATAAGTAATATAGTATAAAATGCAGAAAGAATTATAAGTGTGTCTGATTTCCTAGTTTATTGCTCCATGAACAAGTAAGATTGAAGGCTGTAAAAATTATGCTTTGCCTGAGTAAAATCTATATTATAAGCAATATATATTAAATTCCATACTTGAAGGGGCATTAATTAGAGGAAAGGGAAAACCTAGAGAGCAATGTAACAATTCTCACACTAAGGAAGATTGAGGATTTTAAAAAAATATTTAGTTATAAAATTAAAAACTTGTATAACATTAAAATTTGGTTTATCAACTACGTTTTGATGCTAAGCTCATTCATATACACTGATAATAAATAGTTTAATTAAATATTGAATATAACTGTAAAAGGCTGTGACATGCACACTTTGACCTATCTGGAGAGTTAAAACTTAAAAATTGTTATTAAGCTTTTTCACAATGTTGACCTTCAAACTTTACATTGATATTATTATGAAAAAACCCTAGATACCATGGCATGTACACAGTTTCAACATTAAAACCTAAAAAACACAAAAATGGACTGATTAATTGGGGTTGGGGGCAATGTTCCCTCTAATTTTTCAATCCATATGTGGAATGAATTTTTTCATGTGCATCAGCATCAAAGCAATGTGTGGATGTGCACTATTGGGTTTTTTTTGGGGGGGGGTATTTTTAGACCATTAACCATGTTGAATCATTAAGCTGCTTTGCAATGCTACCAGTCTGTTATTTGGGCTTTAGGCCTATCAACTGCCAGGGTCATTACAGCAGTCAATGTGTTGAGACTCCTCACCATTACTGAGGATGTGCATGGCTGGAATAATTGATTGTATGGTATTTGATTTTTTGTTATATGGCTGTGCAGCTAAGAGGGAACACTAGTTGGGGGTACTATGGTATAAGGATGTGTTGCAGTATTGTAGACTCACTCGACTCACTAATTGTTATAGCAAGTGGATGTGACAGTTACTCACTCTTAACAAACTTTATTACTTCTGAATAGTTTTCTTTTTTTTTAAACTGTTAATCTAATGTTGGTTCAAAGTTGTAAGAACTACTGAAGTGATACATATGCTTCGGCTCTGAAGAAAGCAATTCCAGCTGGTCATCATTGCTTGTAGAACACAAAACATTTACTCTTGTTATGCCAAAACAAGATATCGGTATTAACAAGCAGACTAAAACTAGAAGTAAAATGAGAGTTATTTTATATTCCAGTTTTACATTTCCTGAAAAACAATAATAATAAACTCAGTACTTTAGGGCATATAATTTTTCATCTGCAGTGAAAAGAAATTTTATTTCATTTGAATCATTAACAAATTAAATTCTTAATATTTGATTCACTGGTTGTGTTAAAAAAAGCAGTAAGGCTTGAGCTGAGTTCAGTAATGTACTCGGGTAACAGTGTAGAAACTAAAAATTGCTATGATACTTAACCCAATTTGCTATCAATAGGAAACCATGTTAGATGAAAATTAAGTATTTTGTTCAAGGGTGGTTTATTACTATGAAACTATTTTGTGAGTGAACTTTGTCTTTTATTGGAGTTTTTTACAAAATAGTGAATAAAAACTTGAACAAACAGTAGTTTGAGTAACTAATGTGCTGCATTTAAACAATCCTCAGGTACAAGTAGCTTACACAGGAATATATATATATACAATATGGAACAGAGAGGTCACATGACCAAAGGTAAAAACTTGAACAAACAGTAGTTTAAGTAACAAATGTACAACATTTAAACAGTCATCAGGTACAAGTAGCTTACACAGGAATATATATACAATATGGAACAGAGAGGTCACATGACCAAATGTAAAAACTTGAACAAACAGTAAATATTTTTAGTTAAGTAGTTTTGTTAATTGTACACTCAAATGTTGATAATGATTTAGTTTATTTGATGTAATATACCATTAAAGTTTCAAACTGGATGTTTTTCATATTTATAAAAAATATGTAAATTTAAAGATGAGTGGCTTTGTTGCTTTCATTGTTTATTTTTATAATTATTTATAAATTGAAGTGATATCTGCATAAACTTAGGCTTTAAAATTGTTGCATTTATTTTAGTTTATCCTTCATAACATATATTTAACATGAATAGAAAAATAGACTTGAATTAAAAAGCATAATGTATTCAGAAGAACTGTTTTTAATTAGTTGAATTACTGGAATTTCTTTTTGATAAACTATTTTAGTTAATATGTCTTTCAAAAAGAGAATGGTGTTTTGACTTTAGAGGAATAAAATAACAATCGTTTTGAAGCTAAGCCATAAGATTTTGATTGGTTCAGTGCATCTCTACATTGTTTAATATAATGCCAAGAGATTTTGAAGAGTCACTTTTGATAGTGTATTTGTTTTATAAGATTTGTTGGGTAGAGCATGCCAGACTGTGGATCTGAGGTTCTGGGATTACAATCTAGTAATATAAAAATAATAATAATTGCTCTCCACCCATTGGAGCCATGGGTATACTAAAAGTGTCAGCCAAGTCCCATTATTTAGTTAGACAAGAGTTGGCAATGATTAGCTGCTTTCCCTTTAGTTTATTAATCAAAATTAGAGATGACTGATGCAGACAGCCCTTGTGTGGTGTTTTTGTGAAATACATCAAATAAACAAGCTTTGTAGTAAGAATAGAAAACTACTGGAAAAATCATGATAAATTCTTAGGTGTTTACTTTTTTAACTTTCCTTAGGTTATCATCAGCACTGTCATAGACCTAAGATTTCTTCAGAAGTCTTAAAACCAGAGGTTCCTTGGTATTGTAGGAGCTGCATATTTGCTTCCACAGCTAAGGTAAGATTTTTTTTTTTATAAAATTCAAACACAACTAATTGATGTTTGATTAAATTTTACTGCAATATAAAATCTCTAATAATTTAGTCCTGCTGTACCATACCTTAGGTCTGTCTCAGCAACAAACACCAGGACCAGCACTAGCTATTTTGTCACCCTAAGCAAGTTTTTTAATCCCTCCTCCTCTAATTTTACCTTCAGTTGTGCAATAAAATCAGAGGACTACAGATCATATTTATCCATTAAATCCTGAGGAAATGTTAGAGTAACAGGGTGACTACTATACCAGTCCAAAATGTTTATGATGTGGAAATTTCACTATTCATACTTTTTGGAGGCAGTATTGTAAAGTGTGCTTCAGTTCCAAACTCGATAAAACAAAATTGTCAGTCCAACCAGTCTTCTTTATCTTATGATTGTTTTTGTACTGGAGAAAGTCAATAGTTCTCGGTGTGATGATGTTGGAAAATAATGATGCATTTTCTCATATTTTTATCACTTTCTGTGAGAGGACTTTCAGTTTGCCTTACATTTCTGTTGCAGTAATAATTGTTTCCTCCTCATCTGATAAACTGGTTTGGAGACTCGCGCAGTAACGTTTGAGATGGTTTGAATGGTTCATGAAAGAAATCTTTTTATAAGTAGCAAATGTACA